TACGGACGCGGCGAAATCGGGTCAGGGGTCCTCGACGAGGCTTCCCCACGGACATAAATGAGGTTCCTTCTTTCGATACCCGACGACACGACGTAACTTTGACCGGCGATTTCGCACGTCGGCGACGCCTCTCGTCAAAGCTTCAATCGAGAGAGCGAATTTGCGCGTCACACGGTAATGTGCTTTGAAAAACGCGACGTTGAACTTCAAAATAGAAACTCCAGAAGCATCTTTCCAGCGATATTGATTATGCGATAAAAAGTGACTCGGTATACATAAATGTACCCTGTAAAAGAAGTCGAACGTTTTTTAAATAAATATATATTGAAGTAGAACATTATAATAATAATTGTAGCAATAATTATTAATTATTGCCACAATTAGTTTACTGAAGTATACATATATAACACTAATTTGAATTAATGTAATCTTCATTTACTCAATAACAGCTAGTTTTCCGAATAATTGGATAATGTGTATTTCGATAATCAATCCGCGCATATTATCGGATATTAAAGTAGATATTAAAAAATCCTATAATTTCTTCTATTTTTTGTTTCTTTCATGCGTTTTACAATCAATGATCACAGCGAAAGAAGGAATATTCATTTATAGACATAGTGTATTTAGTTTAGGTGTACGAAAAACCGATCAGAATAATTTGCCCTTGCAGCGTTATATTTCGATTATGATTATTATCTCTTAGAAAAGTTTAGCAGCTGGTCGGTATTTGAGTTCTCGCAAAGAAAGTGGCAAAGCCCTCTGGTAAAGGGTCGAGTGGATCTCGACCATGCCCGAAGGCTTCTCAAACGCTTGATAACTATTTTTCGGATCGGTCGGACGATTGTTAGAAGCGCGCGCTCGAGGCGTATTTTCTGTAGAAACGCAATTGCATGGGTCCGTACGTTTATTTTACAGCTCGCTAATTGAATATGAGCAAAAAGATGAAAAAAAGCAATGAAAAAGCAAGGGAACGAAATCGAGGAGAAAGATAAAAAATAATTTAAAAAAATTAGTAAAGTAATGACTTTCTGCTGCTCTCGTAGAGTTACACAATCACGATACTGCACGGTAAACGGCAGCGGAAAAGTACAGTAATGTTTTATTCAGAAAGAGCATATTTCTGTAGCTGAGAGAACCGTGTTTAGAACAACACGGTGGAATAAACGCGACACACGACGAGTGGTGTGCAATGCGGATATAATATAACAGCCTCTATAAAATATACCGCGAAGTTGTCGTCAGCATATCCGTCGTCTATTCTCGTCCGCGGCAGTTGGGATATCAGGCCGCTTTATCTCGTTGCGCGGCCGGAAAGAAGAAAACGCGCGCGACAGTTACCTTATTATTTATTACTACATAAAAGGTCGCGTACGCGGTGACAAGCGCTGTGCATTTCACCTCGGATAGAAAATTTTATTTCCAGATGCGAGAAAAGAGAAAGAGATAGATTTCTTTCCGCGAGAAAGCTCTTTTTTTTACAATTTTGCGACGTAGGATTCTATAGAGATTTGGACAGTGTTTTATATGCTATCTTTTTTTACCTTCTTTATTTTATTATTCTCTTTAGACGTGTAACTCAACATTTGCTACGTTTAAACAGAGCATTGGAGAAGATCTCTGTTATCGATAATTTTGGACCTTAACTCTTATATTGAAAGGAAGAAAGTTTATGTAATGTAGCAATAGCTTTACATTTACCGACTTTGAACAGCTGCAACGTAAAAGATTCGTTATAAGCTTCAATGGAAACGTAGTTATGTAAATTACATTGGACACAACACTGCCATGTGCGCGTAAGCTACTAATCGAATCGTTTTTCGATCACCATTTGCAAATAATCGACGCGGCAGCTTTGCAGTTCGTTACTTGTAGCACTTCAATTTACTCCTTCATTCGATCCATTGCAAAAATTTTATTTCCACGATTCTCGCCGCTTCCCCCAAATGCCTCGATTGAAGTGAAATATTTGTTCACGAATCGACAATGTATTCGTTCGATGTACGACTCTTTGGATTAAAAAATTCATTTTTTGTTTAGGTAAAGAAAATAAGATGGCAAAATTTTAGATAAAAGTGACCTGCTTGTAAAAAGATCTATAAGTTCTCATTAAATAATATTTTCGATCAAAGATAAATATCAATTTGTATTGGTAAAAATTATTTTTGTAATTTTATGAATACACATTAGTTATATAAACAGCTTTTTCTATAAGTATTTACAAATTAAAAAATCACTATAATGATCATAATTCCTTGAATGATAAATAATTAATATTTAAAAATATAGAAATATATATATTTTTGTTATTATTAATTTTAATTTTTACTAAAATTTTCAAAGTATATAGGTTTTAATGGAAAATCCATACGAATAAACCGGGCTAATTAAGAACCAGCGCGGTAAATGATGCGCGAAAGTTTTATTTATATATTTTTATTTTACATATTTTCCAACCTTTGACTGCGTGCCGACTAGATTTGTCAGACTTGAAACACAGCTCCGGTTGGAGTAGTAAAATCCCCCCCCTACACCTAATTAAATCGATTCGATTTAATTTTTGATGCTATATGCATCTAAAAAACTGTAAAGAAATCATCGCGAAAAATATTACCTCAGCCAGGGTTTGAACCTGGAACTTCCTTTTAATTTAATTTTTACTATTTAATTTTTATTATATAATTTTATAATTTATTTAAAGCTTTGCAAGCTAGATTGCTTTGTAGCCGGGACGATAAAAGAGCGAAACTCGCCCGTTCGAAAAGTATGGACGTGAATCAAAGATCTCGTCGAAATGCAAGCGTTTCAAGTGAATTCGCTTTCAACAAGTGGTTCGGGCCATTAGTCGCACTCAAAGCTCGCGAATATCGATAGCTCGCGTCCGCTGAGAAGCGAACGCCTCGTTAAACCGAGTTACCATCGTTGTTTCTCATGATCGGGAAAATAATTCATAGATTTTAACTTGTATAGTTTACACAGGATTTCCTGGGAGAGTCTTTAGTCATATTGTATCACAAATTTTAAGTTAACTCTCCTTCGCGTAAAAACTTGTTAAAATTCATCACTCGTCTTGAATCTTAAAACTCCAGAAATAGATATCTTGATAATTAAAACTTGATAATTAGATTTATATAAAGGAAAGGTCTAGTTAGAATCAATAAAAACGAAACATTTTATGCTTCTGATTCTATTGTCCATCTGATGTTCACTTGATATTTAATTTGCCAACGTTACTTAAATATTAAGCATAAATAATGCAGAAGTATTGCTACCTCGGTATTGAAACAACTCGGAAACAACTGTATCTTTTTAGTTTCTTTTCTATGGTTAAAAAAATATCCAACGATCTCGGGCATTATATACAATAATCTCGAAATATATTGCAGGATTTCTTTGAAAAAATGCTGCTACACGTTTCCGGCATCAAAGTAAGAGCGTTTTAGAAAAAAAAGAGAGAGAGAGATGCTAATACTATAACTGCTTATATCGCTGATTATAAAACGATGAGAAACTGAAAACTATTTTATAATCAAGAAACGCTCTGGGCTTCGATAATTATAAAAACGCAGGTTTTGATGGAAGATATCGATCGACCGCACATGCAACTCGTTCTCGAGTTTAATTATTTTCGCGCGCATGCGAGTCGCACAACTTCCTGTTCGTTTACAGGCGCGCGCGATGTCAATAGCGGGCGCCGTCAACCTTCGTGGTTGAAAGCCATTAATTTTAAAGCCACGTCGGAATGCTTATCGGACGAGCAAGCCGAAGTGGGAAGGAGGAGTTGGACAAGTATGAAACAGACAGACCGGTAGCGGCATTCACGTTCGCGATGCGAACGAACGGTTTGGTTTAGAAGCAGTTAGACAATCGTTGGAAAACGAAGTAGCGATTCCGTTAATAATAGACACGGAGCTGCGTGCTTCGACCTGTCGCCTGGCTAACAAATTTTTATTGTAAAAATACGCTCAGGCCAAACAAAGACATTTTAGTAGCACATTTCAAGAGTTTAATGTTTATTTTTTTTTTTTAAGTGATAATTATTGGCAAGTTTTTTATTTTCCACATTAAATCTTAGAGACGAATAAGATACATCGACGTATCTTATTTGACGCGTTGCACATTACGTCTGCACCTAAAATTACTATAAAATAAATACAATAAAACGACCTTTATCTATCAAGTCTAATGAAAACTGCACAGTCGCGAGCAATTCTCTAAATTGAAATCTCGGAACGCGCTCGACAGCTTCCTTGCATATCCCAGTGCATATTTTATGCGCATCCGTTACGACTCGTCGCATCTCGGTTCGTGGTCAACGATGTGTGAACACTGCGCGTAAAATTTTTCTCCGCAATCCAATCGAAGTCAAGAAATTCACGCGCGAATCGACCGATGCCAATTTCGTTACACGTAGACACGTTGCACATGGGATTTAATCCCGAAGACGCTGCTTTACGACTTGTGTCCCAGATATGTGCGGAAAATATAGCGGATAATTCTTCAATATTTACCAAATAAACGCAAAAGTGATCAACAAGCTCGATCACTCGGTTACATACGAGATAATGATGATTACCGTTGCGAATGTATTTTGCGGCGACGGATTCAGCTCGAATGACATGCCGTTATAATCTTTGGAGACATGGTGTGAGAAAAGGGCAAATATGTAGATAGGCATGAGATAACAGATTGCGAATAATACGATGAGATGTTTTTCTAGAATTGGTTTAATTCTTAAACGAATTAATTTTCTAATTGCAACTTTGCTAATTGTAAGTTTTAAGAAAGCGTCCAGAGTTATTAGTTCACGCGAACTAATATTGGTTTCCCTATATATTGACAATTTGTTTCCTTAAAATGTTTTCTTAAATGCAATATTATTAAATTCTTCCCTGATCAAATTTGACTAATTAATAAAAGTGAGTTTATAAATATTGACACAGTAGTTTCAGTTTTTAAATTCGTACAATTTATTTTCTTATAGTCATGTTGAAACTTACCTTTCAATGCAGAATATTCTATGCAGAAAACTGAATCTGTAAGCAAGAGAAAATAAATTGTTAAAAATATTAGAAAGTTATTAAAACTTATATACATATATTACCCAAATATATTTAATTATACTTATATTATCTGTATATTATACCTACATATAAATCATCTTTGACCATTTAATATCTTCTTTTATTTAGCTTATAATTTATAATATCTTGTAACTCATAATGCCGGTAAAATAAAGTAAAAAGAATCTTAATGCATTTAATTTAAAAGTTTTATTTATACGCGTAAGATTTTATCTTTTTATGATAAGTCTTCGTAATTTAAAGTAAATAAAGAGGCACATTTTTTATAATTTTTCGATTTATGACATTTTATTCAATGACAGTAGCATACACGAAATACAGTAGCATTAAGGATAAGAATAAAGAAAGCGAGAAAGATGATGTCCAGATTACACAGTAGGATTACGTCTAGGTTACGTATTTTGTCGGGCCAGGCTGGTTGTAAAAATGTCGGAAGAAGCAGTGCTCTTCTAAGCCCTCGAAAGGTTGAGCTCGTGGATCAAGTGGAAAAAAACTGTCTCGCGATTTGCTGGTAAAACAATGTTCTGCTTTATATCTCCGAGAATGGACAGGGGCGATCGCACAGGTTGATTTTCGTGAGTGGGTTCTTCGAGAACGTCTTGAACATATTGAGCGTGAAACGGTGCTTTTTCAGACGAATTACGCGAACAAGGTTGAACGCTATTGTCAGGTGCTGTCATTGTCATAAAATGAATTCTTCCTTTCTAACTTACCCCCCGTTTTCATCTTTATATCTAGAAATTTAATATTTTTCATTGATTCTCAGAGTAACTCGATTTTTTGTGTACATACACCATGAATTGTGCTTTTTCAATAAATTTGAGAGCGATTTTTTAAATGGATACTTGATCAAATATTATTATTTTCACAATTTTTTAACATGAGATATTAAATATATTGATCATAAAGCGTTAAAATAAATTTCATCGTTTAAATAAAATTTGTTATTATTTTAAATTAATCGAAATTGTCAGATCTATCGAGGTCTTTGAAAATTTTCTCTAAAATTTTTCTTTTAGCGATTTATAACGTTCTAATAACTCTACATTTTATCATATATACTTTTTTTTAACAAGTTCTACAACAACAAATTATTTCATAAAAGATTTTGTTTCCCCATGTACCGCTTGCAAACGTTTAACAATAAGTGTGGAGAGATGTGCGTAGGAGTTTCGGTAAATCAATACATTATATAAAAGAAAAACTCATCAAGTGTATGACGTAAATTGTAATTATGAGCAATCATAGCAGCGTTAATGAAAACGTCTTGCACGTGTAATCTGAAATTTCACGACAGTCTTACGCGAAGGGAGAAACTCATTTTGAATCACTCGCCAGGCGAGGTCTTATAATTGCGTCTCGACAATTCAATCTAAATTAGCAGACGTCATAAACATTCCGGGAACTGCCGTTACTGGCAGCTTGCATTTGTCACGGAAATGAGATAAAAATTCTTTCACCGATATAAAAAACGGCTCGCGATCTAATAACAATGTAATTGCCATGATATTTCCCTTTGGTAGAATAAATTCTGGGAAGGGTATAAAATATTGTCATATTAAAATTAGACATTTCTTATAAATTGCATATATATTCTTCGAGTTGAGAGCATAAGCGTGTACTTTTAAAGGACTCTAATATGAGAGCGCTTTATAATCTCTTGGTGGATAAACCAGACTTAGGCGCTCCGGTATATGATTATTAAATCTATATTTATTTCTGCGGTCGTGACGCAAAAACACATATTTCGTTGAAATTATATTTTTGTCCAGAAATAAATTTCAAAAAATAATGTTTGTACAATGACATTTTATAAACGTAATATTAGATATATGTTTTTATCATTTATGCAGTTTAAAGTTATATTTTTAACACAGTAGTGTACGTATTATATACGTAATAATTTCTGCTTTCCGTTATACGCGTATATTCGTATTTCTGCCGTACATACTCTCGAATGTCATCGATTAATCAGCGATAACGTTCAATTAACGCCGCACCCTCGTTTCCTCGCCACGGTTTTCTCACATCGATTAGTATGGCAGCCCTGCCTATCAAGTTAGCAGAGCGTTAACCTTGCATCTTGCTCAAATTGCGCTTTTATTGACACTTTCTCGCTGTTAACGCGGTGACATGCTTAATTACTGTTATCAACGAGCGGAGAACGGGCGCGCTTCTCCGAGTATCAATGTTTGCGCGTAAATGTATACTCTGATATTTAATGGCACTTAATGTGGCACATGCAGAAATGATCTTATCTTAAATTATTCCGTGCTTGTTACGTCACCAATCTTAGTCTATCCCAGATAACATGGATGGACTGCTGTGCATCACGTACGAAAAGTTCTCCGGCCTCTTGCGGCCGGTCGATTTTGCGGCATCAACAAAATATATATATATGTGTGTGTGTGACGTTGTTTGAGCAAATATTTAAAGACTCATACAGCACAATACACCATCTCGACACCAACAAGCTGTGGAACGTATCAAAATTCTTCGCTCATTTGCTGTTTAGAGGCCTTCATCCCGAAAAAATTGATCGCGAAACGCGTGTTCTTTGGGTCATCTCTATTTCCTAGAGATGTTCCGAAAAACATTCATTTTGCGATCAATTTTTTCGGGATGAAGGCCGGGTCGGAATCGAACCACGGACCTTATCATTACTATTATAGTCATTCGCGCATGCATCCCTAACGTGTCTTCTTTGATCTGGGCCACCTTGGCCCGCGATTTAAACTAGTAACGATTAACTTTGTAATTTCTTGTTTTTTTTTTTCAACTGTAATACGTAAAAGTTATCAAATTTATAATAATTTTCACTGTTTATGTTTTAAAGACAGCTACATATAGAAATATGGACCTCATGTTTTCGAGAATATCATTTCAATTAACCAACAGTGAGAACTTCATTACATCGCTTGTTATAGACGGATTTTATTATGCTTTCATGCTTGACACGCGCATATTGAAACAGTGGATGTAAATCAATAAGCTTCGTTTACATACGCGATTACTAGTGCTATTCTCTTTCACACGCGAGCGTAGCGCATATCTGTTTGAATTACAAAAAAGAAGTCCGAACAATTATAACCGATAAACAATAAACGACGAAACTCAATTCGACACTCGTCGGCGGCGTTTTTTTTTTCCATCTCACAGAGGAGAGGGTTAAAAGGCGCTATTGATTTTCTCTCGTGGACTCGCTGTTGCCAAGTTCGTACTATAAGTTCGCATCGCATCGCGCGCGAGTTTTCCGTCATTGTGTATCACACGGTTGACCGACATGTATCGCGTAAAAGTGAGAGATAGAGAGAAAGAGGGTGGGAAAAAGGAAAGGAGGAGGTACAGAGACTTTCGTCACGGCTGTCAAAGAAGAGGCGGAATCGCGCGACATGACAAGGAGATACTTAACCGATGTGGTATAGGTGTGGCATTCGACGTATGTCTCGGCTCGTGGCCGTGATTATGTCTTCCATGACGCGAGGCAGGCTCTATATATAGTACTCTATATACAGTACGAAATGGTAATACGAAAATTTAATGGACCAGTGATTGCGCTTCAATGCGTCATCGGCTTATCCGCCGTAATTTCGCAGCATGCGTGCGCTTCCGCACACTCTCCAAGATCCCCTTCGATCGACGTCTTATTCGCCTCGATCGAGATCCTTGATCACTTGATCACCGGGGTGCCAGTTTGCTTGTACAGTCCGTTTGCACAATATGTAATTCGGGGCGGACCAATCCCGCTGATTGCGGTGATGAACATTCGAGCCGACCGCGACGTTCGACTGATTGAACTTCCGCGATCCTTTGTTTTTAAACGCATCGAAGAACGCATTGTGTTCTGAAAATTGCATCTAAAAATCTTATTGCAGGAGAATTTTAAATGTCAAGCATATTTTGGGATCCGTAGATCTATAAATACGACAAAAGATCTCAGCTTAGAAAAGAACAGATTGTGCTTAACATAGTTAAGAATAGGTCTATATAATTTAATACAATAAAATAAAATATATATTATACAAACTTACAATACGACATACGTTTCGGTCTTTGGTTTAGACCCTCTTCAGTGTTGAATAAATAAAACAAGTTAAAAGTATAGATAAGAATAGTCTTCCGCCTGACACAAGACTATTCTTATCTACATTTCTTATTTTATCCTTATTTTATTTTCAACTGAAGAGGGTCTACTAAACCAAAGACCGAAACGTATGTCGTTTGTAATTTTTTCGTATAATATATAATTTATTTTCATCTCACCACCGGCATTTGTTCTCATTTGCCTTTTATTTTAGTATGTTTGTTAAATTGATTGTATATCTGGAGAGTTTTATCCTTGTTTTTTTTAGGTATAATTGTCAATTTGTTAAAAACCTTTGAGAAAATATTATACGTACGTATAACCGCACATTCTTTTATTTATGAATTTCTTAATTAAGTTAGACTAATTCTTCTTGAACAAAAATTTTTATACGGATTAATTTTTAAACGCGCAAGAGCGAGAAACTTTAATTCTTAAATTTCTAACCATGTATATAATTTAACAAAATTTTGTTTTGAATTAATTACAGAGATATTTTAATTTAAAAAAAGAAAAAACTGTGCAAGGATGTGATATTCAATCAATTTTTTATTCTAAAAATATCGGTTTTTAATTAATCAAAGAATTGTATGCACTTGGATAGGGATAAAGGAAAGTTAAGGCTTTCTTTAAATAATTCAACCGTTTGCCATAAATAAAAAAATAGCAATAAAAAATCAATAAATTATTTGAACAGCAATTACTGAATAAACATTCAGTATAGACTCTGAGTTAGTGATACAGTCTCTGGAAACTTTGGCAGTAAAGAAAACGTAAAGCAAGAAGTCATGTCGAGTTTCTTTTTTTCTTGCAAAAAAGAAAAACAAAAATTGATACATCAGTCTTACATTACGATGTTTTTTTTATTTATGAAAAAGAAC